ATTTTAAAACTTTAGGTGCGTGGTTTGTGTACTTAAGGTGCGCCATTTTAAAAATTTAGGCGTATGATTTGTATTCTTAAGGTGCTTTATTTTGTGCTTAAGGTGCGTGATGTGATTTGTGTACTTAAGGTGCACCATTTTAATGTTTAAAGTGCGTCTTTTTGTGTTAACCGCACAATCGCACGAAAAGTTATCTTTGCACATGATCCACTCCACACACATATATATATATATATATATATATATATATATATATATATATATATATATATATATATATATATGATCTCTAATTATTTCATTTATATATTAATTAACTTTAAAATACATGCTAACTACATCAAGTATTTAATAAATTTAAGCATAAGCACTTGTATATCAATACAGCAATACTTATGCACAAAACATTGAAATTAATATATCCATAAAAAGCAAATTAAATAAATAATAATAAATAATTTACTAAGACTTTTAGTATAATTTCTACTGTGGTCATTACTGAGATAGTCATTATACTGTGATCATTATTACAATGTAGTATATCTCCATATATACTTTCTCAACCTATATATTCAAGCACATTTGAGAGTGCTATAACTATGTCGCTTGACTATAAGATCTTTATACTAACGCCATCCACATTAGTTGATTTTGGACCATATAAGAAAAAGTGAGTGATGTGGATGAGAGAGAATAAATGAGGTCTTCTGTTTAAAAAAAAAAAAAAAAAAAATGAGGTCTTCCTGCAAACCTGAGTTTTTTGTAGGACCCGCTGGAGAGAGAAAGGGGAATGGAAAACCCTGCTCGCGTGCGGGGGCACACAGCTCGTGTCCAATTGGGCACATCAGCTAATTGACTTTTTTTTTTTTTGATCAAAAGGAGGGGGTTACCCAAAATAAACAAGAAGAAACAACGAGGTCTCACTACCCGTCACGCGGGGATCTACGACTGAACTTGGCACCAATCTGGTCCTGGAAAATGACGTCCCGTAAAGCTTGAGGAGGCTCCTCAAGAAGTTGGAGCCCGAGCATATGTGATAAAGCCATCGTCGCCAATTTATCCGCTGCTCGGTTCACCTCTCGGTACGCATGCTAAAGCGAACTTCTTCCAACGTAGCGGCCTCTTTCATGCAGTGCCCTAGAATATTACTTCGCTGCGCTACCTCATCCGAACTCTTGCTTAGGCTCTCGATAGTGGTTTTCGAGTCACCTTCAATCACCAGTCTTCTAACACCGACTTCCTTTGCCAAGCGGATTCCTAGCAGCACCGCCCAGGCTTCAGCTACTGCAATCTGGCAACGCCCAATGTTGTGCATATAGCCTCCACACCAATCTCCGTTAGCATCTCTTAGCATACCTCCGCACCCTGCCTCTCCATTACTCTTTCGACATCCATCTATGTTGATCTTGTACCAGCCATGCGGTGGTTTCTCCCAGGCTACCAAAAGCTCGACAAAATGCGTGGCGGAGCGCTCTGGATTTCTACGTTTAGCAAAAGTCTCTGCTACCTCGGAGTTGTACTTGCGAAGCCAAGCGTGCTTGTAATCCGCTGCCACCCCCTTACCGTTGAAGACTTCGTCGTTCCTCCAACGCCAGAGCCACCATAGCCGGATGCCAAAACGCTCCGGCCACCCATTATCGAAGCCATGCTAACGAATTGACTTTTTGTAGCTAGGCGTCATACCTTTCTTTTATTTTTTATTCTTTTTTTCTTCTTTTTCCTTCTTCTCTCCCCTCTTCTCTCTCTTATTAGTTGACATATCAAAATCACTCCAAATTTTTTTTATTAAGAATTCCCTAACTAAAATTGGATTTTTTGTATATTATAACTAGTTTTTTACGTTTGCGTATTTAAATAGGTAATTCTTCTCCCAAAGGTTGAGTCCCAACCCCAAGGGCCCCCCACACTCCGACCCGACAGAGCATTGTGGGAAGTTGTAAATCACGGTGACTTAATGGTTCAGCAGACAGGGCCAAATGCTGATACGCACAAGGAATCTGCCCACTTTGGACATAATTCCCGCACTGCCGCCGCCGAGGTTCAAACCTTGGTCTCTTCTCCCAAATACTACCCACTAAACCATTGAGCTAAGCCCGTGCGAGTTAAATAGGTAATTCTAAGTTTACAAATGCAAGATAATATAGTCAAGATTGATTATAATTGTCAATAAAATAATTGTATAGGTATAGTTGAAACCAAATACGTGACATAAGGGAGAACAAATTAAATAAAAATTAGGGCATAAAATATTAAATATATACTAATATTGTTTGAGGAGATTCCGACATTAGGATTTGTGGTTAAGTTCTATTAAGACTTTAATATTAGAATTAGATTAATGGTGTAGTTATAATTCTATATTAGACTTTAATATTAGAATTAGACTAACGGTGAATTAACGGAAAAGTTAAATGGATAATCATATAATTAAGGATAAATTAGAAAATCTTAAAAGAAAAAAATTAAAACCTGAACAATATGAACCATTCATTTGATTTAATAATTTGGCGGTCATTTTTTCTACCCAATGTTAATAATTGAATAAATTCGCTGGTCAAATCCGCTAGTATAATCCGCTAAGGCTAACCGCTGATTGTCAAACAAGGACATTGCGAGGTAGTTTTCACTTCAATTTGTTGTGTGATTTGAATACTCTCTTTGTCACAAAATCTCTCAAGTAGTTAATATGGTTGGCTTTATTAATTATATTTTTTTTAATTTTTTCATGGTATTAATAAAATATTTGGTAAATAAATATATAGCATTATTTTGTATTATAACTTTGATATTTAATTAGAAAAATAGTGCACAAGAAAGATAATAGATAATGTAGTGAATATAATCAATTGATGAATTTGAATGTAAAAATTTTTACATTTGAGAAAAATAAAGACAATATAACTAATGAAAAGATTTCTTTTAATTAATTTATTGATAATTAATATTTTTTTTCACTGAATAAAGACAGTGTAAGGACAATGTAGCGAATATAATCAATTAATAAATTTGAATATAAAGAATTTTTATATTGAAGAAAAATAAAGACAATATAACTAATAAAATTATTTCTCTTTTTTAATTTATTGATAATGAATATTTTTTTTTTTGAATAAAGGCATTGTGAACACATAATTCTAAATTAAAGAAATGCATATGTATTATTTTTTGCTATAACTACTAAATTATTAGTATAGTAGATTTACCTATTTTAAGAATAGCAAAGACAAGGAAAGTAGCCTAAACATAATATTTATCTAACGCAATCAGATGAGCAATAAAAAATGACTTTGTCGGATGATATTATAAGACTAGTTTTGGAAGAATTAAATTTGTCATGGATATCTTATGGTGTGACTCGTGTGAGACTTATTTAAAAAATAAAAAATAAAAAAATCCAATGCCTTTCCGTCATTTGTATAGCAAGAGATCATCGGCCATTAGGCAATCAACGTACTACTTAGATAATTATGAATATTTATGATTCATCGAATATAATAATATTACACATCGAAATATACATATATGTACATCATGCTAAACACGTCTACAATTATTAATCACTCAATTAATCATTTTTTATTGGATACATATATTCTTTAATAATTCAACTAATTAAACAACAAAAGTGTCTAATTACAATTTTGTTATAAATTCATATATTTATGATATAAAGTATTATATATAATTTTTAAAATATTGATTATATAAGCAATTATGCTATGACTAATTTGTATTAGATTTGACCTGCCTCACAAACTTATGAGCCGGTCTCATAAGAGACCACCCCTTTTCTTTTAGATGCATGGGCGAGTAAAGCAAAAAATGTGGTCAAATCTCTAAGTGCACGTCTGCACCATTAGATAAGACTATGGATGATCAGAATAGAAGGTTTTTGTGAGTTTTTCAAGCCTTTTATAGGTGGAGGAGAGGGAAGAAAATCAAATTACTACAAATGAAAGTTTTTTGTGAGACCCACTATCCAGTAAAAAAGTTGTGTTAATCACCTTAGGTGCACACACACTAGCTGGGCGCGTAAAATATCAATTTTTTTTAATTTTTATTTCTCCACACAGGCACACAACAACGCATTCATTGAGATTCGATCTCATGACCTCCCACATGAAAGAAATCACTACATGTCATCTGAGCACAAGGTGTTTGGCACCTCTCTTTCCTACTCGGACACCTCAAAAATTTTAAAAGAACTTTAACTAATGAGGTTGCTCTAATTACGCTTGCTTTTAGATCAATTCATAATTTTATCAATAAAAATACACTAGATTCCGAATTAAACTTGATAAGAAATTTTAAAGTAAATACATTCTCAGAACTCAAATTAAAGACTCTACCAACCAATTCTGCAAATTTTTTTAGTTGTGAATTGATTAGTAGCTGGAGACTTGTTAGTTTTCCTTTTCCCCCATTAATGGTCCTCTAAGCCCCACGATGTGGCTTAGCTGAGTACGCTGATGCCTTGCTTGTTAGCATCAGAGTGGTGGTTCCTTCATGGGCCCCCCCTCAGTTGGTATGCCACGCAAAGTGACCCAGACTCTCAACTCTCACCTCACCTCCATTATTAAGATTCTTTGATTACTTACACTTACACAGTGAACTGCGAATCAAGAAAAGGCCACCCAACTTTGCTTCGGAAATTGAAATCCACACAAACATAAAATTAAACCAAAATGCAAACTCAGAACCTTCATTCAACGTTGTCAGATTTAAGAAAGAAAAAAGGAATGAGCCAAAAACACACAACTTGATTTTCGCCTAAACAGTCTGTATCTCTGTCATTTCCAGAGAGAGAGAGAGAGAGAGAGAGAGAAGGGATTGCTTGTGCGGGTGGTGGAGGCGGAGGAGGGAGAAGTGGGCCCCACGCGGTCGCCACCCACTGGCCCACTCCCCGCAATATTCGTCTTCAGCCCCCAAGAGATTCTGTCCGTTGCTGATTTTTTTTTTTTTTATTATTCCACATTTTTGTCTGCACACTTACATGATTATATGTTTATTTAATGAAATCCTTACTGGTTGGATTTTCTACCTAATCAAACTTGGAAATCTCAACAACCTCAAATCCTCCTCCCTGGTTTTTGTTTCTTTGGAATGATTTTCATATTGTCATCAGAAAATCACAATTGAAACAGGGGTGGGTGAGCAGAGAAGAGAACTCACCCCTTAACATTTTTTCCTCTGGGGTTTCCACTTTCAAGGTGCCAGGGCTCTCCTTTACCTTTTTTAGTTGATGGGTTCATCTAAAAATCCATTCTTTTTCATGTGTGTATAATTTGAGTTGTGGTCAAGTTTTGTCTGGCATGTTGTTTGAAAGATCTTGGGGAGACCCACTGATTGTATTGTGTGGTTTCGTGGAACCAATCGATGTGCGAAAGCTGGTGTTTTTTGACTCCTTTTTGAGGAGGTTGTAGGAATATTATCTACCACTATATGATGTTTGCTTAGTTATTGGCTTATTGCCATTGATTGTTCTTCCAAGGTTGGTGGCCTAACTTTAGTCTTGCCATTTTCAAATGCTTTTCTTCTTGATTACTTCCTTTACTTTCATCACCCTTTTGTACAAGTCTCTGGCTTTCAAGCTAGTTCCCACATGGGCTTCTGAATTTAGATTGCAATTGTTGTTCCGCCTTTGGAAAGATTTGTCTCTCCTAACCTTGGTTAGGAAGAATTTGTTCTCTTTGATTCCTTTAAGAATGTTGGCGATGAGGAGTAAGCCCGGTGGCTGCTCCAAGGCTGATGATCACGTTGAGACAACGGTGTCCCAAATGTCGGTCCTAGATTTGCCTGATTTGGTGTTAGAGTGCATTCTCGAAAAGGTCCCTCCCGAGGGGCTTTGCCACCTGGCTAGCGTGTGTAGCTCCTTGAGGGAGCGATGCATGAGTGACCATCTATGGGAGAGGCACTTGAAGCAGAAATGGGGCGGGATTATCGGTCCTGCTGCCTATAGGGAATGGCAGTGGCATATTGCCTTGAGAAAAGATTCGAGATTGTTTAACCAAGCCAAGGAGAAAGGCTTGGGGAGTTATCTCTCCCGGTTGTGGCCTCTTTCTGTGATTGTCGGCCCAAATTTGGGCGCTGGTGACAAGAGGAATAACTTGCCCCCTATCGATTCTGTCATGTTCTGGTATCTTGCTCTTGAATCTGGCAAGTTTTGGTTCCCTGCTCAAGTCTACAACCGAGAGGTATATATCAGTCCTGTTCGTTCTTTCAACATTAATGACTTTTGTGATTGTCATTGGTTTTCATATAAGTTTATGGTGTCTTGATCTGCTGCAGAATGGTCACGTTGGGTTTATGTTATCTTGCTATGATGCTGAACTTAGCTATGATCCTAGGACCGACACTTTCCATGCCAGGTAACGTATAAAACTAACCTTGAATCTTGTATCCCGGTGATTTCCATATATGGAGTATTTGTTTCTTTTTAAGCAATATGCAAGCATAGCTTATCGTCTCGTTGTCATTCCTGTTACTGAATTCCTTAGCAATTGGAATCTTTGGTTCTCGAAGTATTGTTTTCCTATAGAATGTCTGCTAGTGAATGAAAGACCATAGTAATTAACCGCAATTTCTGACCCGAATCCTACTATCAGCATAGAAAGAGATGAACACATATCTTTCCATGCCCTTTAGGTTCGTTTTTTTAGAACTGCTGACTCTGTTACAATGTAGTATCTGCTGAAGCACAAAGAGTCAGTACTGCCACCCATGACCTCCTATTTGGGAGAGTCACTTCGTGCCACTAGACCACAATGTCGTTAACAATAAAAATTCCACACTTGGCATTAATTTTGAACTACTCGGTATTAAAATTCTTACTGCCCTTTTGTGCAGTCATAAATTTGCAATCTTTATCAATACTCGTTACCTTGTCCAGTTATCGTTTATCTGAAAGCAAAGGTAGGAAATTGATGTTTAGACAAGTTTACCGAACTGTTCTATGAAATGGAATAATGGATTATGGAGATTTAAAGAAAAGTGTTTGTCCTATAATTTGTTTTAGTATTGGGTTATTAAAGTTTTTTTTTTTTTTTTTTTTTTTCACGGGCAGATATCCACCTCATGGTAGGATGGCAGTTGCAATCGAGACTGGCGTGACATGGGATAGACTAAGAGCTCCTCTCGTTGATAACCCTGCACATGATCTTCACATCTCGGATTGCTTGTATGATTTGCGCCCCGGAGATCATATTGAGATCCAATGGAGAAGAAACAAAAAATTTCCTTATGGTTTGTTCTTGATACTATACACTCCTAATGTAATATCTCTGAGCATAGAGTTTTACTTTTCCTCAACTTCTTTTTAAAGCAAAAACATACTAAAATTTTGCAATCATTATGTGTGGGGTATTACTTTTTCATGTTTTCCTCTCTTTCAACCTTTTCACTTTATAACCTTAATAAGATTCTTTGTTTTTACTCAATGGTTCAGCAAAAAAGGTCAAATGTCGGATCTGTCCACTTTGGGCATAATCCTTACATTGTTGTCGTTGAGGTTCGAATTTTGGTCTCTTTTCCCAAATATTGTCTACTAAACCATTGAGTTAAACCTGTACGGGTAGAGGATGGGGCGGCATATTTTCATTTCAGAAAACGTGTTTAAGTTGTTGAGCTGGCTTTAATTGACTGCTTTTTGGGAGGATAGTGCAATCTTTTCATTGTTGTTAATAAGTTTGGAATATAGTCAAGAATGGTGAATGGGTATATAAGTTTTTAAAAGTATGTTTTGCTGTGTGGCCACTTTTGATTGGATAGGTAAAATGTTACATCAGCTGCTGAATAATGGCTGGTTTTAGACTGATGTGAATCACCAGTTATCTTGAAACACGACTTAATTCGATTTATTGTTTGGAGATAATGATCAAGTCTATATGTATATATCTAAGGGATTTTCAAATAATTGATTTGTAATGTGTGGAAAATCATGCAGGCTGGTGGTATGGTGTTGTTGGCCACTTGGAAACATGTGATGGGAATCAGCATTATTGTCGTTGTCACGAATGTGGTGAGTTGGCTACCCCTCCACCCTATAGTTTCCTCAAGTAGATACTTTCAACATAGCATTCTTACTTGTCTCTGCATATTTAGTACTGTTGTAAAAATTGGCCTAGGTAGTCGCTTAGGTGTTAGGCGCCCTTAGGGCGAGGCAATTTCAGTCCTAGGCAGCTTTTAGTTGGCTGGCCGACTAGGCGTTGAGTTGGGCGCCAACTAGGCGCCTAACTCCGCCTAGTTGGCGCCCAACTTGACCGAGCGGTATTCTTTGCCTGTTAGGTTGCTCATCTTTTATATTCCTCCAGTCATCTACTCAACTAACCATCTAATATATTATATATATAATTGCAGTGTTGCAAAAATCGGGCTTAGGCGCTGGCTAATCGGCGCCTAGGCACTAGGCGGTCGGCCCTCTAGGTGTCGATTTATCGCTCAAGGCGCCCTAGGCGGTCCCCAGACGCCTAGCGATTTTTTCAACCTTGTATAATTGACTAGTTTGCGAGATTATAATAGTCTAATAACTCACAGCTCTGAGTGGGAGAAGTGGAGACAATATACTCAAATTACTTGATCGCCTAAGGAGGCGCATAGACGCTCGACTAGCGCCTAGCGCCTAGTGCTTCTGCAACATTGATATTTAGAAATCATATCTTGTTTTTCTTCCTTTCGTTCCTAGCTAGGGCTAGGGCTAGGGCTAGGGGGATTCTTTCCACCCTTCCCTCACCTCACGCTATCTATCGATCACCTAGGAGTATTTATTATTTAGCCTTGCAAGGTGGTCCTTGCTAAGTCACCCGGGATTCCATGTGCCCCACGCTACTTGGGTCAGAGCCTAAGCTAGCAATTCGGGTTTGAGGGAGAGGGTGAGGATTAGTGGCTGTGATTCTCACCCATTTCATAAGAAAATGACTTCACTTGACTTGCATAGCCGCATAGGTGGAATCTGAAACTAGCATTCATTATCTCGAGTTTGACCTTTCTTCTGGGTAGGCCCCTTCTTGGCTCCCATTATTCTAAGAGTGGGGCTTCTTAGCAGTTGGTCCCTAGACAAATCTTTCTAGCTTGTCATATTTTCTCCCAACATCATAATAAGTGTTGTCTCAGTGGATCATTTAAGATTTTAAGGCCAATCAAACTGCAAGAAACATTGAATTCATTTGTTTGGCTGTGGTGCTGCTATGATTCATCAATCAGTGGCCTTATTGGTAAATGGCTATTAGTTAATAGCTGTTAGCTATTAGCTGATTGGGTTAATTAAAGGGTATAATTAGTTAATAACATTAGCTGATTGTAGAAAAGTGTTTGGTAAATTAGCTGTTTGGTATAATTTTTTTTCTTAAAAAGCTAATTGAAAAAGTTGCTTTGAGCAGCTTTTTGAATTTTAACATTTTAGAGTTGCAAAAAGCTAATTAACCAAATACTTATATTGATTTTTAACCAAATCAAAAAGCTGATAGTAGTCAAATAAGCTAAAATTAACCTATAGGCTAACTATTTTACCAAACAAGCCAGTATGTTTGTGTCTGTCATTCTTTGTTAATTAAATATGACCACAAAGCTAATAAACAATTGTGGGTGAGGGTAGATCTTGAAAAGTGAAAACCTCTTATTCTGGCCATCTCATATGCTGTGCAGATACTGTAGTGCTCGAGTTCAATCAGTATTCACCTGGTTCGCGGTGGAGAAGAACAACCGTTAGCAGAAAAGACCATCGTGAGGAAGGAAACGAGGCAGAAGGGTTCTACGGAGGAATCCAGAAAGTTGAAAGCCGCGAAGTGATCTCTACGTGGAAGCGGCTATGGCCTGCTCAAGTCCTGGAATAGATTGCCAGAACAGGCACACTTGAAATAGCAGTTTTTAGGGGAAGAATTGAAGAAATCCAATGAAGTCTACATTTTCATGAGGTTATTCTTTTTAGTGGTCAGTGGGTAAAACCGTAAAAACTTCATACCTTTGTAGGGGTGTTTGACACTGTAATTCTGTAAATTGCATCTTGTCCAGATCCAAATCCATGGACTGTAATTGCCACAGTGCACTGCAGTTGTCCAGTTAATCTTATTGAACTAAAGCAATAGATTTTAAAATCGTTCTCAGATTTACCATATATTCTTCTTCCTGGAATGCTGAAATGCATAAGAGGTGTGAAACATGTATTATGAAGCCAGTTAAAATCTATCTGTCCAAAAATAAAAAGGTTAAGGCCCTGTTTAGTAACATAGTTAGCTTATCAGCCAATTTTAACTTATTTAACCATTATTAGCTGTTTAATTTGATTAAACAATCAATATGAGTGTTTGATTAATTAGCTTTTTGTAACAACTTATTGCTCCAAAATGCTAAAATTCAAAAAGCTGCTCAACCCGATCAGCTTTTTGAAAAAATCATTTTACATGTAATCAGCTAACAACTAATTTACCAAACACTTTTTTGCAATCAGATAATGCTATCAACTAGTCAAACTTACTAACCCAATCAGCTAACAGCTATTTACCAAACACCCCCTAAATAAACTCTTAGGGTGTGTTTGGTTCGCACATAGGAATCGGAATCGGAATCGGAATGGGTATCAAATACTTGGTAATGGTAATGGGTTTTGGTGAAAGTATTTAACATGTTTGGTAATAGGGTGGAATGGAAATGATTACTAATAGTAGTGCTTGAAAATGAATAAGGGAATGAAACCCTTATTGTATTTGGGTATGAGTTTTTCAATTGATGGGGTATTCGATACCCATAGTAGTATTCTAAAAACCTATCAACCAAACAACAACAATCACTTTCATACCCATTCCTATGAGCAAAACCCACCAAACAAACACACCCTTAAACATTAATCAAAACAGCTATTTTGTTGAACTCAAGAAAATGTTTTAAAAACAACCTATGCTTGATCAAAACTTGCAATACATTTTTGTATACAACTAGAACACGATGATGATTGAAAATTTAACAACTTTGTTGGAAAGCAGAAGGCACCTGACTTCCTCAAGTTTGCTAGAGAATTCTTGTAGTCAGAGTCCAATTCTACTCCCTAATCTTTATCTCAAATATGAGCCCTTCAAGATTTTTTACCACAGATCGTGTCCCAGCTACTTCACTTATCTGCAAACCACGTCGAGTTGCTTCATTAATGACCATGGCATCCATCCTGCAGAGAGAATCAACATTCCGTGTAAGCAATACCAGAAAAACATTTATACTTTCTTTGTTGTCAATAATTTTGAATAGTTTTACCACGGGGCTTTTCAGTCAACTGGTTCAGAAGTAAAATTTATTTTATTAAATTGCTCACTGTTGACTGTTTAGGTCATTACAATCTCTGCAAAATTTTGTCCACAGAAATCTGGCATTACTTCATCAAATACTGAAATAGTTTAAACTGCCCGCATGGGCAGCTCAATTGGTCACAGGGGTGAAGTTTGAGAATAATGACCCGAGATCGAGTCTCACCAGCGACAGTGTAGGAGCAACTTCTCAAAGTGAGGGGGGCTCCTTGTGCGCAAGGTCTAGCCTCTGTGTTCAGCTGAGTTATCATGATTTACATCCTCCCAAATGCTCTGTCGGGCCGAGGCGTGGGGAGCCCTTGGGGTTGGGGATTCAACCTTTTTGGGAACAATGAAATAGTTTAAACTTGTGGTTTTTCTGCTTTTCATATTTATAATGAAAGGATTATGGTAGTCCCTATCTAAGTGTATAAGCACAGCTGTCTTCATAAATTCAAAAGTATAATTCAGAACAATAATTTAATCTGATGGACTATTTTCAGTGGTAATACCTATAATGCAGAGATAAGCTAAATTTAAACAAAGATAAAACTAGGATTACCTTGAATCTATATGCAATGATAACGAAGTTATTTAATATGGAGTATAAAAAAAATGTTTCTACCAAACTGAATTGCAATTCAGAACCATAATTAACCAAATTGCAGAGATGCACATACATTTTTGCTCGTGATACGTATGCCAATATAAATTTGCATTTGTTTCCACCACGAACTTTGAGTAGCTGCTCCACAGTATCAAAGAGCAAAGGAACATTCGCCTGCTGAAAACTTGCATATTGTCAAGGACTATTGCAAAACCAAAGATGCTTAGCATATTTAAATATAGTCTATAGCTAGCTTTATTGTCTACTTAGGTCACCCTTTCATGAAATGCCATGGTATGATAAGACATTGACAGGGATGAAATTATAATACACAACTATAGTCTATAAATGTTAAATGAAACCAAACTAACATGCTTATAGAACCTATAAAGTATAGAGATAAAAATTATAATTTGGATATAAATGTCAGCTCCAAGAACTAGATCAAATCCTTCAGGATGCCCTTGTAAGATATAACTGAGTTGATCAGTATCGCCCCATTCCAGCTTCTCAGCTTTTAAACCTGAAACAAATGACAGTAAAATGAAGGTACAAGTTCATCTCAAAATGCAATTGTACTTTGTAAAAGTTAGTTTACTAACCAGCATGAGGAATGGAAATATCAGAAGAAACATGATCGATGTTTTTCTTCAGGATCTGGAGTCGCTCCAAGGTTAGATGCTGAATAAACAAAGTGCATGAAAATAATTGAAATTCAAACACTTGAACTTGCCTTGAGGACCTCCTCATTGTGGTCTGTCATCACAACTTCACGACAAAATTTGCTGCACAGTATTCCAGTTATACCTGCACCCAAGACTCGGCAATTTATCAACTTCGTATTAAATAAGGAAAAGAGAAATAATTCTGAAAGATATACTGTTATACAACTTCCATGTTCAGGTATGCCTCAACAACTCAGCTTAACAGAACTGCATCAACACTATTGTTTAGTCCTCCAGCCTTGTTTCAATTCAAATTCTTAAAGTATCAATCTATTGATGGAGAAAAGACATCTTTGCGATGCTATTCCCTTACAATTCCCCAGAACCTTAAGCATACTAAAGTGAAAGCAATTACCTTTCAACTAGCTCACGTAAGAACATGGGTGCCAAGTAAAGTTAATGATCTTATACAAAAGATGGATAAGGAAGAAAAGAGATAACCATGTATTGATTGGATACAAAGGAGGTGGGCGAATGAAGGAAGAAGGATTTTTAACAAGACTACTATTTGTAAAACTAATTTCCAATTCTCCACTTTCAATTCAAAAATTTCACCAAACTGGTATAAATTGATTAAATGAACAAAAACTAGTTAAGTAACAGTATCAAACTATATCCATTCAAACTCATAACATTAGAAGAACAGAAAGAATAATAAAGAACTCTTAAAAAGAAATAGGGTTACTAACCAACGCCAGAGCCAAGCTCAATAACAGAACATCCTTGGAGGATGTCAGCATTCTTTGCAAGATAATCGTTCAAAAGTACTGCCCCAGGCCAAACCAACTGTCCCGTCAAATCAAAATCAGCTGTCATACCAATTGTTAGTTCTAAGTTGCCATAGACATGAATTTAGAAAACACACACTAGACACATGCAATGAAATAAATTTCCCAATTAAGCACACATAAGCATTGCACTAACTTTTTTATCAGGATTAAGAAGAGAAATCAATACAAAATAATATTTCCGTATGACTTAATTTTATAGCACACTACTAATATTGACATCAATCTTTTATTTTGTAGGAGTCCTCCTCAATGACACAAAGGGGGTGTTACATCAATCTTTTATTTTGTAGGAGTCCTCTTCAATGACACAAAAGGGGTGTTTGGTAAATAGCTGATAGCTGATTGGGTTAGTGAGCTTGACCAGTTGATAGCATTAGTTGATTGTAGAAAGATGTTTGGTAAATTAGTTGTTATGTTGGTAGTTGATTACACGTAAAATGAATTTCTCAAAAAGCTTATCGAAAAAGATGCTCAAAGCAACTTTTTGAATTTTAGCGTTTTGAAACAATAAGTTGTTACAAAAAACTAATTAATCAAACACTAATATTGAGTGTTTAACCAAGTCAAACAGCTAATAATGGTCAAATAAGCCAAAATTTGCTGATAAGCTAACTATGTAATATGCTTAAACCATCCACTCTTCATAACTCATAGCATTGTTGCACAATAAAGCTATGCACTGGTTAAGCCAACAATTATAGTCAGGCAAGGATTTGAAGAGTAAAAAACGCTAGTTTCATCCATAATGAAGCTCAAAAACTTAACTCCTCAAACTCATAATAGTGGAAAATGACCCCCCCCCCCCCCCCCCCCCCCTCCCCAAAAAAAAAAGGCACCAGATTGATCAGAGCAGATAGCAATTAGTCTAATTTGGGAATATTTATATACAGTAAAGAATTAAAAAAAAAAATGCTTACTGGAAGCAGATTGGAGGCAGTAGAGCTGAAGAACTTGAGACCCGAATGAGAATGTCGTAAGCTCGTAGCTGCACAAAAGCAACTCAATACCCAAATTTCACAACGGAAAACACATACATATATGCATACAAAGAGAAAAATGCATACTTGTCGTTCATGAAGAACGACAGGTCCAAGCAGACGATGTCTTCTTCTTCTTCTTCTTTTTCTTTTTCTTTTTCTTCTTCTTCTCCTCTTCCCATGTTCAGACAAATCGTGTAGTAGCAGCAGTGCTGACAATGAGAAATGACCTAAGACTTGAAGCAATGGTACCTTTCGCAGCAAGAGTGGTACCATGGGCCTTCACTCATAATTCTAGGGGCCGGGCCCATGTATATGAATTTGGATATCTTCACGGCCCAGTTTCAGACCCAGACGGCAAATTATACCATAGACCAAGGTCGGCAAATTATATCATGCACCAGGGTGCAAAATGCATTATGCGCCCTAAGAGTTTATATGTATTATGTTAAGCGCTTATGTGTATTACTAGTTTTTTACGCGCATTGCGCGATTGGGATAATACCCAATGCTTTTTTGTTAAAGAAGTACTTTAAAGTATATTAAGGCAGGATTATATTGAAATTGTTCATGCATAGATAATTGAAGGTTGAATAGGGCCCCCCACACTCCGACCCGACAGAGCATTGTGGGAAGTTGTAGGTGACTTAATGGTTCAGCAAACAGGGCCAAATGCTGATACGCACAAGGAATCTGCCCACTTTTGACATAATTCCCGCACTGCCGCCGCCGAGGTTCAAACCTTGGTCTCTTCTCCCAAATACTACCCACTAAACCATTGAGCTAAGCCCGTACGAGTTAAATAGGTAATTCTAAGTTTACAAATGCAAGATAATATAGTCAAGATTGATTATAATTGTCAATAAAATAATTGTATAAGTATAGTTGAAACCAAATACGGGACATAAGGGATAACAAATAAAAATTAGGGCATAAAATATTAAATATATACTAATATTGTTTGAGGAGATTCCGACATTAAGATTTGTGGTTAAGTTCTATTAAGACTTTATTATTAGAATTAGATTAATGGTGTAGTTATAATTCTATATTAGACTTTAATATTAGAATTAGACTAACGGTGAATTAACGGAAAAGTTAAATGGATAATCATATAATTAAGGATAAATTAGAAAATCTTAAAAGAAAAAAATTAAAACCTGAACAATATGAACCATTCATTTGATTTAATAATTTGGCGGTCATTTTTTCTACCCAATGTTAATAATTGAATAAATTCGCTGGTCAAATCCGCTAGTATAATCCGCTAATGCTAATCGCTGATTGTCAAATAAGGACATTGCGAGGTAGTTCTCACTTCAATTTATTGTGTGATTTGAATACTCTCTTTGTCACAAAATCTCTCAAGTAGTTAATATGGTTGGCTTTATTAATTATATTTTTTAAATTTTTTCATGGTATCAATAAAATACTTGGTAAATAAATATATAGCATTATTGTGTATTATAACTTTGATATTTAATTAGAAAAATAGTGCACAAAAAAAGATAATAGACAATGTAGTGAATATAATCAATTGATGAATTTGAATGTAAAAATTTTACATTTGAGAAAAATAAAGACAATATAACTAATGAAAATATTTCTCTTAATTAATTTATTGATAATGAATAAATTTTTTTTCACTGAATTAAGACATTGTAAGGACAATGTAGCGAATATAATCAATTAATAAATTTGAATATAACCAGGATTATGTGGTCTAATGGTATTCGGGTTGGACTTCCATTTGGAAGGTTGTAAGTTCGAGCCTCAGTGGAGGCGTTATTAGCTCTCTGTGTTTCAGTAGGTTGAGAAAGTATATGAACAGATATTACAATGTAATAGAGCTAGTAGCAATCAAAAAAAAATAAATTTGAATATAAAGAATTTTTATATTGTAGAAATATAAAGACAATATAACTAATACAATTATTTCTCTTTTTTTTAATTTATTGATAATGAATAATTTTTTTTTGAATAAAGGCATTGTGGACACATAATTCTAAATTAAAGAAATGCATATCTATAATTTTTTGTTGTAGCTACTAAATTATTATTTATATAATTTAATAAGAGTAAAATAGAGTACTAATTATGCCAACTTTGATTGGGGTGAGGTTCGAACCTAAGACTTTTTTTTTTATTGAAATCAATGAGTAAGTTAACGGTGAACTAACGGCAATTCTTAAAATTTTAACGGAATTAGTAACGGTGTGTGGGTATTTTAAGAAATTTTAGTGTAAAATTTAAATCTGATCAATCTTTTAATCAATCTGAGTCATTCATTTGATTAAAATCTGTGACCGCCATTTTTTCTACCCATTATAGGCCTAACTCTCTTGGGCTCTTATTAGTATAGTAGATAGTAGATGTTAAGAGTTTATGTGTATTATGTATTATGTTAGATTATGCATATTATGTTAGGAGTTTATGTGTATTCTACTATACAATTATATATATACGAAACAAGAGATTTTTAAGGCGCACAATCTTGGTGCACGATATAACAATTGACCAAGGTCCACTTTGAATTATGAATTCTAGTCTAAAATGATATTTAGATTATTTGTCTGCAATATTTATTATATAAATTGAAGACACGTAATATATTAACTATATGCACATAATATGTTAAGTACAAACGCATAATATGCATTTAACATATTATGTATATATAATTAACAAATTATGTTTTTTTTTTTTGAAAAATATATGGTACTTCATTAGAAATAGGTCGAAATAATGTCAGGCAGGAGAAGATCACAGTACATAGCAGCAGGTTGCTGATAAGCCGTAGTAGCTAAAGCATGAGCTAAATAATTGTCTAATCTAGGAATAAAATTAAACGAACAAGACTGAAATAAAGATGCAGTTTGCCTGCAGCTGTCAATGGCATAGCCAACGTAGGTGCGAAACATAGCGGATGGTGTAGTAAGATAGCGTTGAAGTGTCAAACAATCTGTATATATTTCAATATTCTGTTCTCCCCGATCCTTCAACCATGATAGAGCTTCCTTGCATGCCAACGCCTCAGCCATAAGCGGTGAGGAGCAATTTGGGAGTGGTGCACTGTAGGCAGAGACGTATCCTCCATTCGCCTCGAGCAGAATTGCCCCAACCGTGGCGTGGCCCATTTCTTGTAGATAGTCTGCATCGACTTGACAAATTCTCCTTGTCAGTACATATGGTTCGGCAGTGTGTGGCTCGGAAGCATGTGGTTCGGCCTCCTCCTGCACTGATGATGACGCGGCTATCATAGGAATAATTCGGGCAGCAGGTGCGGGATGCGTCTGTCTCCATGCAAGCTCGGCAATGGCAGCAGCTTTGAGTAAAGATACCGGCCGTGGTAGGTATGCCTCCCAAACCGCCCCATTTCGTGCTCTCCAAATATTGTATAGAATTGACCCTGCATATAATATCCCATCAGAGTCTAAAATATTTAGGAGTTCACCAAACCAAACATGAAAAATATTTGTGACAATATTGAGAATCGTAAGGTTGAATTGCGCCCAAATGTTTTTTGCAAACTCACACAACACTAAGGCATGCATTGTGTCTTCTTGTGATATTCCACACATGGCACAACATGGGTCCACATCCACCCTCTTTATAAACAAATTAGTAGTGGTAAAAGACCCACTAGGGGGGATTTTGAGTTTCCACAAGGCCAACCATTTTGTAAAAGACCCACTATCACTCTCATAATTACCAACTATTAGCCTGTATCCACTTTTCACATAATACACTCCTCTCGGGTCTCCATGCCAATACCAGGTATCATCATAATTCGAGGAAACAGGTAATTTCAAAATATTTGCCACATCAATAGGTTGAAATAAGTCTGTTAGAATTGAATGATCCCATGTACCAGTTTGTTGATCAATCAATCCCACCACTTTGGCTTCCTGTAGTTGTGTTGGCATTTCTGTTTGTATCATAGAGTCCTGATCATCCTGTAACAGGGGTGAGTCCATATGAGTGTAGACTCCCCGTTACCAACTCTGCGTCTTACCCCACTACAAACTATACTCTTGGCTGCCGTGATACTCCGCCAACAGAAACTGGGATTGTTCCCTACCTGTGCATAAAAAAGAATTAACAAATTATGTATCTTCAATTTATTTACAAATACATAATTTATAAATTAAAAGCACGTAATATATTAATTGATACGTAATTTTTAGAACATGGTCCATGATATAATAATAGTTTTAAAAATTAAGAGAGGAGATTGAGGAATAATGTTGACATGTGCCAATATGAGCCCGCACAATTATATGAAAAATTGGTTAATTATGTAAAGTTTTGGCCTATCAACTCGTTAGTTGTCTCACGGTGTCTGTACGGTAGTAGCCCGAGATTTGTATGTATGTGTATACTTGTGTAGAATAAGCAATAAGAATGAAGAAGGGGAAGAACACAATTGAACACCACAACCATGTAAGTGTATCATTTCATTAAGCCTTCAACTCTTTATATAATAATCCATACAACCCTTCAATTCTATAACATAACAATTGATTAAATAGAAGGGAAATGAAGGGACTAATATTTTAATGGCCATTATTCTAAATAATTATAACACTCCCCCTTGGCCATTAAATAATTATACTCATGCCTCGTTAAAAACCTCGCTAGAAAAACCCTGTGGGAAAAATCTAATCTAGGAAAAGAGTACATATAGTATCAAACATGTGTTGCATCGGTTGCCTCGTTAAAAATCTTAGCCTAAGAAAAATCCAGTGGGAGAAAAACTTAGCTAAGGGAAAAAGAGTACAACCATAAGCCTTCCGGGCATCATCTTCAAGATTTAAAAGTCTCCTGGGCCGAGTTTATCGCTCCCCCTGAAGACAACAGTCTTCCTAGCCTTCGCATCCCAATTTTATAAACATACTTCTCAAAAGTAGATGTAGGCAGGGACTTAGTGAACAAATCTGCTAGATTTTCACTAGAGCGAACCTTTTCAATTAGTATTTCACCACTCCTTTGGAGTTCATGTGGGTAAAAGAACTTAGGAGCAATATGTTTAGTAAGGCCTCCTTTAACGTACCCATTACTCATCTGTGCAACACATGCTGCATTGTCCTCATATAGGACATTCGGGGAATCAACATTCTCATTGTTCCGCATGAGCGATGGATATGTTGTATCAGTGATCTCCACCATACGCATTCGCGTGCGATTTCATATAAAGCAATTATCTCTGACGGATTAGATGAGGTAGCAACTAAGGTCTGTTTAATGGACCTCCAAGATATAGTTGTACCTCCACAAAGAAAAACATAACCAGTTTGCGATTTAGCAGTATGAGGGTCAGACATATAACTAGCGTCTGAATACTCTGTCAAAGTAATGTCCTGGTTGTTTTCAAAATAAAGACCAAGGTCTTTTGTCCCTTGGAGATATCTAAAGATATGCTTTATTCCACTCCAATGTCTTCTGGTTGGAGAGACACTAAATCTAGCAAGTAAATTCACTAAAAAGGCAATATCAGGTCTTGTGCAATTAGCCAGGTAAAGCAAGGCTCCAATAGTACTTAGGTAAGGAACTTCAAGTCCTAGTACCTTTTCATTATCCTCCTTAGGTCTAAATGGGTCATTTTCCGCTTCAAGAGACGGGACTACCATTGGGGTGCTAAGGGGATGAGATTTATCCATATAGAATTTATCCAATAATTTATTAATGTAGTTAGCTTGGTGAATGAAAATTCCATTTGAAAGATGCTCGATCTGCAGGCCGAGGCAGAAGTTGGTTTTTCCCAAGTCTTTCATTTCGAATTCTGCTTTTAAGCATGGATATGCTTCTATAAGGTCTTCCTTTGTCCCAATAATGTTCATGTCATCGACATAGACAGATATAATGCAGAAGCCATTAGATGACTTCTTAATGAATATACAAGGGTAAATATCATTTTTAACATATTCCTTCTTCAGGAGGAATTCACTCAAATAGTTATACCACATTCTACCATATTGCTTCAAGCCATATAATGACCTTTGAAGTTTGATGCTATACATGTTTCGATCTTTATCCCTCATATTGGAATTTTGAATACCCTCGGGTATTTTCATGTATATATCAGCCAGTGTTGCAAAAATCGGGCCTAGGCGCTAGGCGGTCGGCCACCTAGGCGCCCGCCTAGGCACTCTAAGCGCCGATTAATCGCTCTAGGCGCCCTAGGCGGTCCCCAGGTGCCTAGAGGGCGCCTAGCGATTTTTTTCAACCTTGATATTAGCATCTAGTGACCCATAAAGGTAAGCTGTCACTACATCTATCAACTGCATATCTAATTTCATACTTACTGCCAATGATATTAAATAGCGGAATGAGATGCCATCAATAACAGGAGAGTATGTTTGATCAAAATCAATTCCGGGTTTCTGCGTGAACCCCTGAGCTACCAATCTCGCTTTATATCTAACCACCCCATTGCTTTCATTCCTCTTCCGTACGAATACCCACCTAGATTCTACTGGGATCACATCTTTTGGGGTAAGTACGGTGGGACCAAAAACTTTTCTTTGATTAAGCGAGTTGAGCTCTGCCTCAATTGCCTGTTTCCACTTCAACTAGTCAGAGCGCTTCTGGCACTCGGTTATTGACTTTGGTTCTGGATCCAGATTATTTTGTGGAATGTTACAGGCAACTGCATAGGCAAAAGTGTCGTCGACGACTATTAAATCTCTATTATATGTTTCTCCTGTATCAACAAAATTTATGGCCGTTTCTATATTGACATCAACCAGATCATCGTCATTTCCCAAAATATTTTGATCTGGATGTTCCGCATACCCAGTGTTTGTATTATTTAGAGCACGTGCAGGTTCACTGGGTTCTCCGTCTTCGGGACGGTCGTCTTCAGGACGGTTAACATTTTTCTGGAGTGACTGAGATATTTTACCAATTCTCGTCTTCCGCGGATTTAAATCTTTTGCACCAAGTGATCTCCCGCGCTTCTGGCGATGGGGAGTGTGAGTGTGCATACTTGGTCCCACGGGGACTTGAACTCTCGAAGGAGCATTCACAGCAGGGATATGGGACCTAGTCACTCCTCTGTTATCATTAAAAGCATCTGGCAGGTTATTTGCTAAATTTTGCAAATTAATAATTTTCTGAACTTCTAGTTCAGTTTGACTAGTACGTGGGTCTAGATACTGAAGATCCTTTTCATCCCATGAGATTTCTCGGCATTTTGTTAAATAAGGTATTTTATCTCCCCCTAATGCCGGGAAATGATCTTCATAAAAAATGCAGTTTGCGTACCTCGTGGTAAATTGATCTCCTGTCATGGGCTCTAGGTATTTAATGATGGAGGGATATTCATAACCAACATATATACCTAGTTTTCTCTGCGGGCCCATGGAGGTACGGTTTGTAGGTGGTATGAGGGTATAGACTGCACACCCAAATACACGACGATGGTGATATATATATATATATATATATATATATATATATATATATATATATATATATATATATATATATATATATATATATATATATATATAATACAAAAAAGGCATTTTCGGTATTAAAGTACAAAAGCTATTTCCAAATACTTGGGAATAGGTAATACTAGGGTCCCCTAAGAATGACTATTCCCCATGCAAACGGAATAACTCATTCCCGAGAATGCTATTCTCAGCCAGGAAAAGACAAACCAAACAATGGAATAGGTCTATTCCCGAGAATGATATTCCATTCTCGACCTATTTCATGAACCAAACATGCTGTTAGTGTATTACCAAGAGTAATAAAACATAATTATGATAAAAGACAATATGGATGTTTGGTAAATAGTTGTTAGTTGATTGAGTCATTGACTTTAATTAGTTGATTGTAGAAAGTTATTTGGTAAACTAGCTGTTAGCTAAGTATATGCATGACTTTTAAAAAAAAAAAATTATCAAAAAAACTATTTTGAACCGTTTATAAAATTTTATGTTTTAGAGCAATAAGTTATTACAAAAAGTTAAATTAATTAAATACGATTATTTAATCAAGTCAAACAGTTAATAATAGTCAAATAAATTAAAATTAGAGTTTATTACCGAAATGGTCCATCGACTATTGTGAAATTACCAATTTAGTCCTCAATAATTTTTTTTTTACCCAATTAAGTCCTCAATTTAGAAAATGTTAACCATTTTTTTTTTGGTAAAAAAATGTTAACCATTTTGGTCCTCCGTTAAAATTCCATCCATAAGCTGTTAAATTTAAGGACAAAAAAAAGTAATTTCATTTATTTTATTTATTAAATCTTTTCGACAAAATCATCCGTCCGCGATATGCACGGACACACCGCCCTTTCTAGTGAGAGCATGACCATCGCTGGGAGCTTCTGGTGCAGAGCAACAATACAATCGACTGGCGCGGTGTGTCGGTGCATTTCGTGGGCGGAGCAGGTATGAAGATTTTGTCGAAAAACTTTAATAAATAAAATAAATGAAATTACTTTTTTTTTTTTTGTCTTTAAATTCTAACAGTTTATAGATAAAATTTTAACGGAAGATAAGGTTAACATTTTCAAAGCCGAAAACTTAATTGAATAAAAAAATTATTGAGAATCAAATTGATAATTTCATAATAGTTGAGGAACTATTTTAATAATAAATCAAAATAAACTCTTAAAATTAACTGATAAGCTAACAAAGTTCAATACTTAAAGGATAACCAAAAGTGAAATAAAATAATTAGCCCTAAATACAAGTTGCCACAGTTACCATCTTCAGTTCTCAACTGCTCCACTGGTTCTGAACTAAACTTTCATATTTCTTCCATAAGAAGTTAAAATTCTGCAAATTCTACTGGAGAGTAACAATGGTGAGCGGGGGAGAGAGATGGTCAGTGGTGACGGGCGGTAGAGGCTTTGCGGCGCGCCACTTGGTGGAAATGCTAATTCGCTACGACATGTTTTCCGTTCGGGTCGCGGATTTAGGTCCTGAAATTAAGTTGGAGCCACACGAAGAACATGGCACTCTCGGCCAAGCACTCCGATCTGGACGCGCAGTCTATGTGTCCATGGATCTCCGGGACAAGTCCCAAGTACTCAAAGGTTTTCTACTTAATATCTTCTGTTCTTATCATTTTCACCAGAGATGTTATACAACTTGAAGAAAATTGTTCGTTAATTGCTTATTAGATGCGAGCTTTATGTGTATTTGCAATGTCGTACTTCGAATTCAGTAGTAACATTTCCTGCAACTCATTGTTTTCTAAACTAATTTAATCATCAAGTTTGGAATCTTTACCTGCTTGCTAAGTTGCTATTCTGATTCTGCAGCTTGTGAAGGAGCTGAGGCTGTTTTCCACATGGCTGCCCCAGATTCGTCAATCAACAACTACCAGCTCCATCACTCAGTCAATGTACAAGGTAAAGTTCTTACTTAGCAGGATTTTATATCGGATCCTCTATTATTACTTTACTCTTTATTTCCTAACATTCCTTTGTTTATATCTTTGAACATTTTAAATAGGAACTAAGAATATAATTGATGCCTGTGTTGAGCTAAGAGTGAAGAGACTTATATACACCAGCTCTCCCAGTGTAGTCTTTGATGGTGTTCATGGAATTTTTAATGGGGATGAATCAATGCCATATCCTGATAAGGTATAGACTATATTGATACTTTAAGTGTGATTTGTGAATATAATATCCGGTCTGATTAGTATATAGCAATAGCAAGATTATTTTTTATTATAAAACATAAAAAAATAGCAATAATGTTTTATGTGTATCGTTATTGCCAGCACAACGATTCGTATTCTGCAACTAAAGCTGAAGGTGAGGCACTAGTCCTCAAGGCAAATGGCAAGAATGGCCTGCTGACATGTTGCATCAGACCCAGCAGCATTTTTGGCCCCGGTGACAGGTTACTTGTTCCTTCCCTTGTCACTGCTGCAAGGGCAGGGAAATCCAAGGTTATTGGAAATTCTCATCTCTTGTGCCATGTATTTACTTATTATTGCATTATTTTATGGTCTTACCTCTGCCACTTCTTCCCCAAACATTTTTTTTAAACTTATTTATTTATTCTCAATTAACATCTAAACGACATGTAAACACATCATATCTGCTATCTTGCACTTAACATCTTTGTGCCACTTATTATCAATTTCTTTATCTAGACGACACTGATTATCGGACATATACTCACTACTGTCTTTTCCCATGACTAAATGGAATTAGTCTTATGCTTTGTAAACACATCATATCTGCTATCTTGCACTTAATATTTAACTGTTGGAATGTTTATAGTTATTGCATGACTCAAAGTTTCAAACCTGAATGATGCAGTTCATTATAGGTGATGGCAACAACATGTATGATTTCACTTATGTTGAGAATGTTGCACATGGTCATATATGTGCTGAAAGAGCCCTAGCATCAGAAGGAGCTGTTGCAGAGAAAGCTGCAGGACAGGTATTGTGTCCAACTGTGATGTCTTCTGTCTTGGGATAACAATCTGTTATATAGATTTCAGTGTAATTGCGGGGACAAGGACAATGTGTTGACACAAAAAGTGTACTAGCTTTTAAGGAATTTGTGTTCAGTTACCAGTCTTTTATTTTGCTCATTTCTAGTGGGAAGGCACTACACATACTATTCAAGAAAAGCCTTGGCTGAGTCAGCTCTCGTCATTCTCTTTTGATTAGACGACATTGGAAAAAAATCATTGAGCAGTTAGATTCTGGATTCCTTCTGCTGATTTTGTAAACTAAAATATTTTCTGGTGATCATTGTAAATGGTGATTGGTGATACATTTTACTGTAGAGATTGTAAGTTTATAACTAAGTGTTCTCGGGTATGGGGACATTTCTATTTCTTAAAGAAGGTTGTAAGATTTGTTGATTCATGATGGTTAACTCTGATAAATGAAGTCAACTTAAATGGCTTCTGCAGGCTTACTTCATTACTAACACAGAGCCTATCAAGTTCTGGGAGTTTGTCTCGCTTATACTTGAAGGTCTTGGCTATGAAAGGTGATTTCTTCACACACATACCCCATGCTTCTTTTACATCCTTTTGAGATTTTGGCTCTTTGGTATCTGTTGATAATTCATTGTTATATGCCACTTCCACCAATTTATTTACTCTTTCATGTAAGTTTTAAATATTGTATGTGAGACATAGGAAAATATACAATTTAGGGAGAACAAGAGTCCCCTGTTTAAATGTTGAAGATTACATCTCTGTTAATACATAACTGTCAAGTCCTTTAGTTCTTCAATTGTGGCATAAATAGGATTATATAAGTGATACATTGATACTGAAATATCCATGATTAGGTGTGCTTTCATTAAACTTCTAGGGACCCTCTTTAGGATTTAGGGAAGTACAATGGGTTGCAATAAACTAACTCAGATTGATAAGCTTTCTAAAGTTGCCCCTTTTAACCAGTCAAATTTTAACGTGCACATTCAAGATAGGTTATGTTTTGCATACTAAGGTGTCTAGTTTCATTCTTCTGATCTGGTTTTTTTCTTGTACTTGTTGGTTGGCTTTGGACTGAAAGAATTCTAGAAATTGGTAAGGCTATTGACTGTTTTCAAAGATAGAAGTAATTATCTGCAGTATAGACTTGCTGTGTGGATCTAGAGTATATAAGGGTGGTTTTAAGGTGAAAAAGAAAACTAGCATTTCAGTTCTTGCTACGTAAGGCTTTTAATTTTGTTATCCCCTTCAATCTGTTTTTATACCTCATCTCCTTTAAGGAATAGATGTAGGTGGTATTTTTATCATTTACAGTTTCCTTTAAAATGTATGTTATCTTTATTTCTGATTTTATTAGTATGCAGGCCAAGTATTAAGATTCCTGCCTGTGTTATGATGCCAATTGCACATTTGGTGGAGTTGACATATAAGCTCTTAGGCCCATATGGAATGAAGGTCCCACAGTTGACACCTTCAAGAATAAGACTTTTATCTTGCAGCAGGACGTTTAGTTGTTCTAAAGCAAATGATCGACTGGGCTATACACCTATTGTCCCACTGCAGGTTCTTCTCATACCCCTTGGAATTACTCAGTTGGATTTGATTTTCACTCAACTCAACTAAGTCTTCTTAACCCCTACCTAGTTGTGGTTAAGTATCACATGAGGTCCCTAATTAATTAAATCATGGTTTCACTAATATCATTTTGCCTCTGATGATGTGATTTATCTTCCTGTAGGAGGGTCTTAGGAGGACAATTGACTCATACCAACATTTAAGAGCTGAAATTAAAACTAGAAAGGATGGGCCTTCCAAAGCTTCCATACTTCTTGGAAATGGAAGGGGTATGAATGAGTTGTTCTCCCTATATTTCATCTTTGTTTCTCTCTCATCAGTGTATGCAATTTGTGTGGCTTAAATTTTATGCTTGTTATGTGATAATTTTGCTTTAAGTTTTCTGAAGAAAGTATTCCTGTATGATTTTCAAGCATTTGTTAACCCTCTGGCAGAACCCAATACTTAAGGATTTTATGCTTATTGTTATTACCTGACCTGATATACCTGAGGATTCTAAGCCCATTTAGATGCTGATTATAATGTTGATGCACTTGTTAATATGGCCTATTTTGGGAATCCAAATTCTGAATTGTTTTATTCAGTTGAAATTGCTGTTTGAACTCTAAAATGGCATCTTGATTGTGTATTATTGTAATACAGTCACTAAATTTGTACAAAATGTGCCGCCATTCATGTTTCCAGAAAGTCATACAAGATCTTCTGTCTTTTGTGTTATCAGAAAGTCTTACAAGATGTACTACATTTTGTTTTATCCAAAAGTTACACAAGATGTACTACTTTGTGTTTTCAAACAACAAAGTTATCATAATTCTGTAGTATTGCCTGTTTTACATATCATTTCAGCAAAATAACTGGTTTGTAGTCCTTATGAACTGTATTACACCTTTTGCATAGTAATAAATGCGAAAGGAATTAGATTGAAGAGTGAGTTTCCTTGCCTACGGTGTACAAGGAAAAGTGCAACAAATCAAGTGGATATGCTATGATTACGTGTAATTGAGCAATTTATGAGGCAAAGCTTTACTTGGACAATTTGTCAAGCATAAAATAACTAATAAGAGTGAATCATGTAAAGGAGTTGATTTAGGAACTAAAAATTAGAGAGAAGGATGACTTTTATAGCACATGCATTTGTGCACTGAAATGAGAAATCAGAATATTGCAAAATCATTCAGTGTATCATAGGATCTGTTAAATATGGTGACCTTGATTCAGTTATGATTTCATAATTTCCAACTCTATTTTCTTATCAAGTTAGGGAGTAGATTCTAATCAATAGTTATGGCACTACATTTTGCAGTTGCTGATACACTTCTCTGGAGGGATAAAAGGCAAACACTCATTACTGCATTAGTTCTTGCAGCACTTTACTTCAATTTCATAGCAGTTGGATATTCCGTGATAACAGCAACTTCCAAGCTACTCTTAGTGGCATCTATTTTCCTATTCATCCATGGAAAGCTGCCACAGAAAATGTATGCTTCCCTCCCTCTCCCTAGCAGAACACAGATATGCATGTGGACATAATGAATTAGTTTCACAAAACTGTGGAAGTACTTATACAGATGCCCCCATTTATAAAGTCATCCACTATAGAAAGCCTGAGAAGCCTACTTGCAAAATTTTGTTTACAACTGTACTTGGTTTCACAATGAAGAAAACACAGTTTACAAGATCAAGCCTTTTTATTTTACACCATTATTTAGCCCAGTAATAAACATTAAACACCAGCTTCTAGTAATCACTTTCAATAAGGCTATAACTTGTCTGCAAATTATACCTTTTTTTAAAAAAGATTTTCTATTCTTGATATTTTCGCTGTTTGTTCTATCTGTTCTCTTGAAAAAGCAATGATTATTTATTTATTTATTTTTTGTGCTTGACATTGTCATGATATAATTTGAATTCCTTGTAGAAATGTGAAACATAGTCTTTTATTTTTGCCAGTAGATCTGCTTTAGTATTTTATCAAGCTTTCTGTGTATCAAAAAGATTCTTTATGTTGAAAGTGAATTTCAAGTTGGACCAATCTGTGAATGAGCAAGTGGTTATTCCAACTTTTATTTTATTCTTGAACACAGAGAGGTACATTAGGAAGGTGTGTTCACATGGGTCACCAATTCTGCTGATATGAATAAAAGAATAAGACAGTAATAAGATTTGCCTTTTTTTTTTTTTTTTTTTTTATAAAGTAAAGATAATTAAAACTAAAAGGCACCAAGGGGCTGCCCATGAAACAAGAAACAAAATGGGGGAGCTTCAAAAGAACTACACAAGTTTTAGCCTATCTAAGAAATCATTCAATGAAAATGCACTATCAGTACTTAACATGAATCCCAAAATAAAGACTATGTTCAAGAAAGTCCCAATTTTTCTCAAAAGACAATTCTGAGCCTTTCAAAGTTAATACATGTTTTTCTCATTCCTGAATAACCAAAGTAAGGAAATGGGGGTCAAACCCCATTTTCTGTGGAAGCTCCACCCTCTAGGCATCCTAAACAGAACATGTCCTAATCCACTGCTTGCCACCAAGGGAAAGAGGGAAATGCCAATGTTGTTCTGTTCAGTACTCCAGTTGCAATGGATTTTTGTCTTATTCTTCAGTAAATATGTAGTGTGATTTGATGAGTGTGCCAGGATGTTGTGGTTCTCCACTTGGTGTCATGGTGAGATTCATTAATTGTTTTTGTTCAATGTGTACGTTATTTGATATGCAGTTGCAAAGTCGAAAACCTTTATGGATGAAAATGGAAGATAGGTTATTTTCAGAAATTCTGATGTATGAACTCATACTCTGCAGATTTGGATACAAAATTGAGAAAATTCCTGAGTCAAAATTCATTGTCTCAGAGGAGATGTCTCTTCAAGTTGCTGGATCAGTAGCTTTGCTTTGGAACTCTGCAGTAAATAGCTTAAAATCGCTTTGCAGAGGAACAGATTGGGTGCTATTTCTCAAGGTAATTACTATGCATTTTAATATTACCTTCTAATTACATGCTATTGGTCAAAAAATCATTTTCTTTGAAGGGGGACCAAGGTGTCTAGCCTTTTGTAGATATCACCTGCCTAGATCTATGTGTGTCAAGAGGGAGAAAAAAATACGCTTAGTGCTTGTTTGTCCCAATCTATGTTGGAGCTTATACTCCAAATGGCAGAAGCTCAGCCAACAAGGAAAAGTGAAAGGGATTTTTTGAGGCTAGTTTTGAGGCAAAACCACTTTTTCCAAGAAACTCAGAAGGAAGGATTTTTTGAAAGGCATATTTTTCAAAATCTCAAGTTGGCCAAACAAGCACTAAGAACATCTTATTTAAATCCTATCATTGTCTTATGAACTCCCTCGATAGGTTGCAAAATTAACAAATTCTATTGTGTCTAGTGCCTTATAGACCTAACCATATGTAAAATGAAAATGCATTGTATCTGTTTTGTTTGTTATGGATGCATTATTATTGGAAATATATAAAGTGAAAATAATTTTGAACTCATGAGTGAAAATAATTAAATGAGATAGAAGCATGCTACTTAGTAAAAATTTGCTTGATATGAAAGAAGAAATTATGTTGATGAAAACAGGAAAATGAGTGGGGTACAGGAATTCATATACAGAAACTAAAAATAAAAGAATATGGGTCAACTGAGTAAAAAATTATGTAAATTCGGTTCTACATTTCTACTGCTGGTTATGTTTGAATTTGTTAATTTAGGTGGTTTGGATTTCATCATTTCAATCAATTTACTTGTGAACTCCTTGAATGTTGAAAACAGGTGGTTTCCTCTCTATTGATTCTGAGCATCCTGGGGACTTTTTCACTGCGTAGTTTATTTGTCATCGGTTCGTCTCTCTCTCTCTCTTTCATGTTACTATGTCTGTATGCACACTCGCTTGAACCTTTGAGATTGGCGTATCTAATCAGAATATAATATGTTGTCCCCATTTTTAATATAAATGATTTTTTTTTTTTTTTAATCTTATGTTTGGTTCTGAATTGTACTTCAAACGGAATATATGGGTGAAGTTCATAGTTGCCAGTTGGGGATCTAACCATCTTTTTTTATTTTTTATTTTTTATTTTTTATTTTCATTACTACAGTACTCCCCATTGCCTTTGTCGCTTTCGTTGTATATGAGAAAAAGGAGGAAGAGATAGAACACTTTGTTCACGAAGTTATTTCGTGTGTCTCTAAACTGAAGTCCAACATTGTCGAGAAAGTGCTCATCAGCTCCAAGAAAACACAATAGTTGTCTACCTCTCCTTTTCAATTTCTCCGGGCTTCGTGCATAGTTCTTGGAAGCTTTATGCTATAGCTGGCTCTCTTGAAGCTCAAGGACCCGATTCCATCGTGCTTCCTACAAAAACTTCTGCATTGGGGTCCCAAACGCAAAGATATGTACTGCTACCCTCCACTTTCTGGACTTGTGCCTTCATCATTTCTCTATTGTGGAACTAACATGTTATTGCATTCCTTTATTTCTATCCACATTATACTAAACTCTTGCCTGGTGGGATACGTCGTTGGTGTTGCAACACCGAGTTTGTAAACTTTATAGGGGAGAACTAGATATTGGGTTTTTTGTTGTGATGACAACCTTGTTCCTTAATGCCCCTGTGGACATTATGGTTTTAAAAGATTTATACACTTTGGTCTTTTGACAGCTACATTTTGTTCATGTACTTAATTTCCTTATGGTAATTCTTCCTCGTGGACGTTATGGTTGGTTTAAGAGATTTTTGACGGAAATTGTCTTTTCAAACTTCAAAGTACATTTTTTATGAAGGTGTATCTGTTGCTTTATTAGAAGAGTACTAGGATATGGTTAGCAAAACTGATGGTACAATTTTAGATGTCACATTATATCACATCTTTAAAGTATTTAGAAAAAGGAAAATACTACTACTACTACAAATTCTACTCTCGACATTTTCATTCGAATTCACCGGATGAAGATAACTAATTATCAATTGTTACATTGTAGTAAAATTGTCAATTCTTGCTAATTGTAGGTCAATTTGTAGTATGTGGCATATTTTTAGAGGAAATTTTAATTTTGGTCATATGACTATAGAGTTCTTGTTAATTTCAGTCTCTGACTTTCAAAAGTGTCAATTTAGTACCTTAACTATGCAATTTTGTCACTACAGTCAAATTTTGTTGGAAAATTTTAATAGTTAAAATAATGAGGATATTTTTGTCATTTCACGCCTCTTTTCTTCTTCTCCGGCGAGTCCATCTCTTTCTCTCCCGTTTTCGGCGTTCTTTCTCCTTCTAAACCCTATCTTTAATATCATCAAGCCTCCTTTCTCTATCATCTTAGTTCATTGCATTCGCCGGAAACGGGAGAGGAAGAAGGGATGTACTCGCCTAGGAAGAAGAAAAAAGACTTGAAATGATCAAAATACCCTCATTATTTTAACAATTAAAAATTTTCAGTGAAATTTGGCCGGAGTGACCAAAATTGACAAAAATTGCATAGTTAAGGTACTAAATTGACACTTTTAAAAGTCAGGGACTGAAATTAACAAGACCCATATAGTTATATGAACAAAATTAAAATTTCCTCCATATTGTGCATTGGATAAACATCACCTTGTTACTTTAGTGGGTAAAAGTCTAAGGAAATATTATGTTTTATTAATACTTTTTAATAAACAAATAATGTTTTAATTAATTTAGAGAAATATTATTATGTTTATTTATTTTATTTTTTAATAAAATAAAAATAAGGTACGAAAATTTTGAACCTCAAAATTATTCTGTTGTGTAGCACAACGCCCCAACAACTGAGATTTTAGATAGGTCACCGACAATCTAAAATCTAAATACTAAAGAAATATTACACACACATGACACACCGTCGGTCCTCAAGTTTTATTTACAATATCCAACTCTAACGCGTCATTCGGTGATGGGTAATGGAATAAAAAAAAAATCTGTCCTTATTGACTAGACTAGTACCTGAGGTGGGGTACTTCCTCGATGTGGTAGCTACCACAACTCAAATGCCATAACATTAATGTGTGGGGCAAATGCCCCTTTCGTACTTTCATATATTAGAGAGAGTATTTTATAATGTTGTTAGAATAACATCAAAAATGAAATTTTTTTGGTGATCTTTTAATGTTATAGAAGAAAGGGGGAAGAGAGATGAGAAAAAAGAGAGAGAAAAAAATTTAAAAATAAATTTATGTGCTTAACAAGACACATGCAGTAGAAAAAGTAAAAAAAAAAAAGTAAAAAGTTTACGCGTGCACGTGTCATGCTAGGCACGACAGTTCCCCACACGAACAAGCTGCGCAGTAGGTTTCTCCCAATTTTTCATTCCAGGGATCGCACAAAAATTTTGATTTTGTAGGAACCCCAACCCAAATTTTTTATTCTGAAATTTTTTTCTCAAGAATCACTATTGGTAATGCTCTTATAGTATGATGTGAAATGCATACTATTTTTTAGTAAAATAAGTATAATATTTTTTTATGAGTCAAGTTACATAAAGTATTACATTTTCACTGGTATATTTTAAGAAATACGGAGTGGTAATTAATAAAATTCGTTGAGATTTAATAACATATATTTTTTTGGTTGGAGAGATGAATCGCGCACAAATGTATATATAAAATAAAAATTAGTTGTGTTGTAAGTTTGGTAAACACAATGTTCTAAGTTTAATTCTTAGTGTGAATAACTCATTAGCCTTTTCGATTTGGGCCGGTCAGCTATACGCGGCAAATTATTGTATAGACCATGGTCCACACAATGTTATGTGGACCATAACAAAAAATATTTTTTTAATATATTGAATGTACATTATTTTTGTACTGAATGTACATTATACAATATAATGTACACTAAGAATAAAAATAATGTACATCCCCTGAATACAATGTACATTATTTTTATTTTGAATGTATATTATTTTTGTACTGAATGTACATTATTTTACAGTAAACAAAATATGGTCCACACAATTTGTGTGGACCATGGTCCATACAATAATGATTGGCTATACGCGACCTAAGTTGGTTTTCATGGCAAATTTTTATGTGGACCATGAATACAAAGTACATTATTTGTGTAATGAATGTACATTATTTGATAGTATATAAAATAATGTACTTTCAGTACTCAAATAATATACTTTTAGTATATTAAACATGTATTTTTTATTTATAATCCACACAACTGTGTGAACCATGGTTCATGGGATAATGATTGGAATTTCATCATTATGGTCTTTTATTAGGTAGAGTCACAAGACGGACTTCACCTATAGTGCAAGCAATTGAGAGCTTTCTAGTAAATAATAAAAACAAATTTAATGAGAAATGTAAATGTGGTAGTTGGATGTTTGTATTTGTGGTGATATTTCAATTTCTGGTAGTCATTCATATCTATTTGCCAATAATAATAATAATCTTCGTCCACCACCCCACCCATCCAATTGCAGATTTGGTGTGCTTCCAATCTTCCATGGCCACAATTTTGATATGCAAGATTGGAGTTTCGTATGGTTATGGAGCTGTGAGATTAAGACCGATTGGGATCGTTGCACGCAGTACAAAACATGCTTCCACATGGCAACTTCTGTGGTACTGGTACTACTCCATAAACATGGGACATTGTATTTTGTTTGTTTGTTTATTTATTTTTTATTAAATTGAAAAATGCATAACAAAAAGACAATATAAGTGACTATTTTGTGATACAAATGTATGTGGGGTTCACTTTCGATTTGAATCGGGTCAAAGTAGATTCACACTTTTCGTAGTGAGACGAAGAAATTAATATATTGTACGCTCAAAACGAATAATGGGTGAATGAGAAATTGATTTTCAAAATAGAATCATTTGAGTTGGGAAATGAAGGTGGGAAGACTTTTAGAATGAGATTGATTTGTATAGGAGAGAAGTTCTCTCTTGCGTGTAGTGGTGCAAAGGCTTTTTGGGTTGTCAACGCTATTAATTTTAGTTGCTGGTTTTACCTGCCCAAAATCTTTTCTTGCTCTCATTCCTTCTCCCGTTTTCTTGAAAGAAAGCCTGCCAACACATGCGTAAAAAGAAACGAAGTGTTCGCCTGTTGTTCATATTCGCAAAAGTTGTAATCCGTTTTATCTCGTGAGACTGACACTACAACGCTCCTAGCACCATCGAGTGATAGCGAATCGGTTTTAAGAAAAGTGTGTTACACACCACTCCGATTTTCTCATTTTTCTCGTTTCTTGTGTTGGGTTTTTATTCTAAATTATGAAATATTTTTTTCCGTTATATATATATATATATATATATATATATATATATATATATATATATATATAACACGAATAAGTTGAATTGGATTATTATTCACCACCAAAAATTACAATTGAGAATCCATAGCATCCACGTATAATGCATGTTAACCACTAATCACATTATCTTTCGTCTTTTTGTTTTTGGTTGAGTTTTTCTTTATTTAAAATTGTAAAATGTTTAGTTTCTTTCCATTTTGTGTGAATCAAAGAACGATGGGGTCATTCATCCATGTGTGGCCTAAAATGCAAAGATTATGAGAATTGTCTTAATTAAGATACTCATTTGTATTAAAAATTTTCCTCCCTGCGACCTAGGGTTTTCCTCTTTCCCCCTGCGATCTAGGGTTCCGGATTACGTGCATGCGAACAACGCCATTGGAGCAGCTTGCTAACCTCCGATGGACGTGCAGGAGATAATAACACACACGGCAGACATCACGCTGGACGACGAAGAACAAGGTGTCCGGTTCGAGGATGAAGATCTCGGCGTCCAAGCCCTACCGGCGTCGAAGGAAACCTGGACCATTGTTGGCCGGTTTTTGACGGATCGGATTCTCAAGACCGAGGTGATGAAGCGTGTTATGGCTTCGGCTTGGAAGCCTCTGATGGGTATTGAGATAACGGATGTGCAGCCCAATTTGTTCTTGTTCACCTTCTTTGATGAACCGGACATGAAACGAGTTATGGATGAGGGACCTTGGGCGTTTGAGAATGCGACGCTGCTATGCCAAGTCCTGAACGATGGTGAAGATCCACTACAGGTTAGTCTAAACACTGTGGACTTATGGGTACAGGTTTCGGACATCCCCCAGTGATACCGTACGGTTAAAGTGTTGGAAAGAATTGGAGACTATGTTGGGGTTTTCTTGCGCTATGATGAACGGAATTTTGAGAGACAATGGACTTCCTTCTATAGAGTTAGAGTCACCCATGATGTCTCAAACCCCTTAAAGCGGCGGATGAAGATGATTCTGAGAGATGGGTCCTGGACATGGATTAACTTTAAATATGAACACCTCCACATGTTTTACTCTTTTTTTTTTTTTTTTTTTTTTTTTTTTTTTTTTGTGGAAAATGGGCCATACGGATAAATTTTGCTTGCAAGCTCGCCGTTCGTTGTTGAGGCCGGAACAGTATCCGTTTGGTGTGTCGATGAGGGCGGGGGTACGAGTCCGGCGAAGGTGTTGGGGGAAAAATGGTTTCAACTAGGCCAAGAGAGGAGGCGTGAGATTGGCTATGGGAGTGAGGGGGGGGGGGGGGGGAATGGCGGTGGGAGTTGGGGTGGGAAGGAGTGGGCAGTCTCGGGTGGAGGTGACTAAGTCTACGACTGGGCTGGGTTCGGGATTTGGGGGTGTGGATGGGGTGGGCGGTGA